CAATTCAAATACTGGGTTCGCCTTTAAAAGAAAAAAACAAATACGGAGTATTCTTTAACTTGCCACATAAGCTTGCAATTGCTCCAACTACAAGGGTGATCATAGTCTAATATTTGTTTGTGCACCTTCTTAGGCAACTCCAATTGCCTCTTTTGTCAACTTGACAAGAGGTATTGTAACCAATCGTTATGCCTGCACCACAGTTCACATAGCACTGTGTGTCCTACGCCTCTCAAAACGACGTCATTTTGTTAAATTGTACGGAGAGTCGACACAACAGAGTGTATCTGTATTATGTTATATAATGGTTCTGTTTGGTAAAATGACTATTAACTGATAGCTGTTAGATGTTAACTGATTGTGTTAATTAGAGGGTATAAATGATTGTAAAAAAGTGATTGGTAAATTAGCTATTAGTTGATAGCTATTTGATATAATTTCTTTTCTCAAAAAGCTAATTGAAAATGTTGCTTAGAATAACTTTTTGAATTTTAACCTTTGAAGTTGTAAAAAGCTAGTTAACCAAACATTTATATTGGGCACGAGGGTGGAAGGAGGTGAGTGCTACCGCTTAAGCCGGGACCCATGAAATTCCCCCGGACTAAAACACGGTACGCCGTGCCGGTGGGGATGGGTCTTTGACTTGAGGGTAGTAGGGATATGATAGGATAGTTGGATCTCCATGAGCTTAGGCATCGTTCCCATCACTTGTGTGGGATGGGGAGCCTATTATAGATGAGATGTGTGGATGAGTTGGTGAGGTTTGGGCTTTCAAGGCTTGAATTTACCTTTTGATCTCTTTTGTGAGCCATTTTGGCCTTTTGATTTTGATATAGTAGACTTAGATGGTTGGGAGCTCTACACTTTGATTGGGGGGGTCACTTTTGGGCCACCTCTTGTATATATTTAGATGGTTGTTTTGTTTTGTTATGGCCGAAATGGCCAAGGACTTGATTTGAGCCATAGTCCACTTTTGGGGCTATGGCGTATGCTTGTAGACTCTTGGTTTTTTTTTTTTTTTGGGGAAGGGGGAGGGGGTACCCTGATACACTAGCTTCTCCTCTCAGTTGAAAACAGCAGTTCACCGTCTTTCCTCATGAAGTCTCTGATTTCCTCCGGGCATCTATTGAACTCAATCCATTCGCACTTTTTCCTCGGCGCCACTTTAGCCAACCAGTCAGCAGTGTTATTTTGATCACGTGGTATGTGAGCGATGGTGATCGTCCAGTCCTTCTCGAGCCATTCCTTACTCCAAGACACGAGAGATCCACATTGGCCCAAAGGTTCGACGCCACCCGAGAGCCAATCTACCACTTGTTGCGAGTCGCTAAACAGCTTAAGCTTTCTTATACCATGATCCCAAGCCCACTTGAGGCCTAAATAAGCTGCCCACAGCTCTCCCTCAGTGGCGTTGCTTGTTTTCGTCATACAACTAAAGCCTCCAAGCCATTCCCCATTGTGGTTGCGCATGAGTCCTCCGCAACCTGTAGAGAGATCAACCGAGATGAAGGAAGCGTCCGTGTGAAGTGCAGTCCAGCCGTTCTTCAGAGTGCTGCTTCCTCTCTCTTTTATTGGTTGGATCTTTTGTCTGGCAAAAGCTCTCATCGTTTCAATCTTCTGTTCTCTTAACCAGTTGATTTTTCTGCTTAGATCCCATTCGATATTCATGAAGACTTTGTTGCACCTCCACTTCCATATCCACCAGGCTATGGTGGCAAAGCTCACGACCCAATCTGCTCCCAAATTCCTCATTGGTTTTCCTGTCAAATTAGCAGATAACCACGTATCAAAATTCATAGAAAAGAACCTCCTATAGGCCCCATAAGAAAGAAACACTTCCCATATTTCCTTTGCCATCTTGCAGTCCCTAATGCAGTGCTTTGCATCTTCTTCCATGTGGTCACAATTCGGACATCTTGCATCCATAGTGTAGCCTCTCCTACGTCTCTCCACGTTAGTCATCAGCTTCTCATGCTTAAGCAGCCAGACGAAGGTGTTAATTTTCCTCGGCACCTTCATCTTCCATATTGCTTTCCAGTCTTGTTCATTTTCTGGGCCAGTCATGTTCATCGCCAAGTGGTAAGCCGATGAGACCGAACATCTACCGTTGCTCTCAGGTTTCCAGAAAATTGCCTCGTTTGTTTTTCCTTGAGAGTTAGGCAGATGTTGGGTCCTTCCCAGTCCTTTCCTCAGAATCGGATCAGCTGCGCAAATTCCACGCCAAATGTTTGAGCTCGTCTTCCTCCAGGTAAAGGCCTGGTTAACATCTTTCCCATGCATGTACTTGCCTAGAATCACTTGTTTCCATAAGTTGTTGTTCTCGATCAAAAGTCTCCATCCGACCTTTGCGAGGAAGGCTAAGTTCATTTCATTCAAGCGTCGTAGGCCAAGACCCCCTCTATCTTTTGGTAAGGTAACCGTGCTCCAGTTAACTAAATGAGAGCCATCACCCCAGATAAAAGTTCGAATTTTCCTCTCAATCGTTTCACAAACTCCCTTGGGGATGTACATCGATTGCATGATGTAGTAGGGGATAGCATTTAGGACACTTTGGGCGAGTGTTGTTCTTCCAGCAAGGGTTAGATGCCTTCCTTTCCAACCCTCTAGTCGGGAATCAATTTTCTCAATTAAAGGGGTAAAGAGGTTTTGCGTTACTCTTCCGTGGATCGAAGGGACACCGAGGTAACGTCCTAGGTCCTCCGTGCTTAAGATACCAGCTTCTCGTGTTATATTTTGGGCAAGTCCAAGATCAGTATTATTCGAGAAGAAGATGTGAGACTTCTGCAAGCTAACTTTCTGCCCAGACATACTTTCGAATTTTCTCAAGCAGTTCTTCACCACCCTTATTTGGTCAATAGAGGCTTCTGCAATTAAAACCATGTCGTCAGCAAAGAGTAAGTGAGTAAGTTCGGGGCCATACCTCGAGAGCTTAACACCTCGCCATCTCCTGTTAAGGACCTCTTCTTTGATCATACGGCTCAAACGCTCAATACAGAGGACGAAAAGGTAAGGAGAAATTGGATCCCCTTGCCTGAGCCCTCTAGTGGGGGTAATCCAATCCAGTTGGTCTCCCTTCCATAAAATAGCGAGTCTAGGGGTAGTAACACATTCCATAATAATGTTGATCCAGTGCCCCTGAATACCGAGATCTTCCAGAGTATCCCGCAGGAAATCCCAAGACAACCTGTCATAAGCTTTTTCCAAATCGATCTTAAGAATCATTGTACAAAGACCACTTCTACGCGTTCTCATGGTATGCAATAATTCCTGGTAGACCGCTATGTTATCAATTATTCGCCTTTGAGGGACAAAGCTGCTTTGTTCTTCCCCAATAACTTTGCCCATAACCTCCTTGAGTCTATTAGTAATCACCTTCGCTATGACTTTATACTTGACATTACACAAACTGATTGGGCGAAACTGGGTCACCACTTCTGGGTGCTTGACCTTAGGGATGAGAGCTAAAAGGGTGTCATTCCAATTGTGGCTTAGTTTGGCAGTTTGGAAAAAGGACTTGACCGCGTCAGAAAGATCATTCCCAATCTCATTCCATGCTTTTTGGTAGAACGCCGCATGGAAACCATCCGGGCCAGGTGCTTTATAAGGAGCCATCTCAAAGAGACTTTTCCTTATTTCATCTGAAGTAACGTTCCTGCACAACAAAGAGATATCAGTATTACTAAGATTAACGGGTGTGGGATGAACATACCTTCCATTCGTGCTAATCTGATCTCCTGTGAAAAAATTATGAAAATGGTCCTGAACCATCTTCCTAATCTGATCATCCTCCAAAATCCACTCCCCTTCATTATTTTTCAAGCTAGTGACCATCGCCTTCGCTTTTCTGACTTTGGTTATAGCGTGGTAGTATTTGGTATTCCTATCTCCCGATACTATCCACTCCTCCCTTGACCTTTGGAACCATGCTAGTTCCTCATAGTATAGGACTTCATCCAGCTCTGTTCGCAATTTTGCTTCTAACTTGATCAAGCCCCCTCTTCTGCCATACCCACTTGCTCGTTGAATGCCATCAAGTCTTGCAATAAGGCGTTTACGTCGTTTCTCGAGATCCCCGATCGCTTCCCTACTCCATGCAGTTAGCTCTGTTTCCATATCTTGTAATTTTTCATCAAAGCTTTTTCCAGTGGATTTATTCCAGCTATTCTTCACGGTGACTGCAAAGTCCGCATGCGCTCCCCAAATCGCCTTGAACTGGAACCTGCGTGGCTTTGCTGTATCAATTCTGCTTATCAGATTTAACATTAGGGGGTTGTGGTCCGAGGTGAAGCTAGGCAGATGAGTCACATGAGCATTTGGGAACCCGTTCAGCCATTCTTCAGTGCAGAGACATCTGTCTAGCCTAGCTGCTTTCATCGTGTTCTCGGTTGTGCCCCTTCTCCAGGTGTAGGCTGATCCCGTATACCCTACGTCAATGAGGTTTTCTTTGTCAATCCACTCAATAAAATCTTTGCTTCTGCGAATGTTGTATTTATCCGGACAGTTTACTTCTTCGCTACTGACAACCGAATTAAAATCGCCTAGTGCAACCCAGGCTTCATTTAAATCGTTGCCATCTCTCCCAAGATCCTTCCAGAGTCTACGTCGAAGGGTGTGGGAGGGGCTACCATAGACTATAGCAATATTCCAATTATTTTTATTTTGGTCCACAACTTCCATAATCACAAACTGGGGGTGTGTGCGTTTTATGTTGACATTGAAGGAATCGTTCCAAAGAATCCAAATACCTCCACTCAATCCAACTGCTTCAACTCTTAGCCATTGGTCAAACCCGAGTTTGATGCAAGTCTCATCCGCTCCAATTCCAGAGGACTTTGGCTCAAGAACACAAAAACAGTTAGGCTTATGTTGCCTAATGATTGTCAAAGCAGCTCTAAGAAACCTCTTAGAAGCTGCTCCTTGGCAATTCCATGTTATGATCTTCATGAGAAGCACAACAGGGGCAACAACACACAACAAGCAAATAGAACAAGAAGGCAACCTCAGGTCGCGCCCCCTTTCGGGGTGCCACCACTGCCAGGCTCATCATCACACTCATGCCATGGTTCGTCCTCCATATTAACCTCAATAGGGTCAGGAGGATCACCATGATGCTCAAGAGAACTCCCCTCCAGAATGCCTTGCATAGGGGGGGTTAGTTGATCATTAAATAAAATTGTACTAACCGACGATTTGTCCCGTAAGTTACCTCGCGCCACAGTATGAGTCTCTTCTGCCGCAGCTTGGTTACTCTTTGTATTCTTTCGTGACGTATTTGCATTGGAAGAAGGGGTCACTTGGGTCTGCTTGGAAGGCTGTTTGGATCTGTTGGAGGTGCTCATGTCATTTGCGAGTTGTTTTTCTGTGATCTGTACGTTTGGTCTCTTCCCTTTATCCTTGTTATTATTCCCCTTATTATTAAAAGTAGCTCCATTATCCTCCCCATTTGATTCATTAATTTCCACGTCAATCTGCTCCTCATTTTCTTCTCTTAAAGGCGCAAATCTGGATGCAATACTAATTCCCTGATTTTCAGCTTCTTTTTGCTTCCCTTTCGCATTACTTTTTATTCTAGCAGCATTAGGGAGATTACCGTTGGACTTGCTTGTACCAGGCACATCCTTACCATCCTTGTGGATATTCCTACCATACTGAGCATTATTCGATCGATACTGGCGCTTAGGAGCAATCATCCAGGAGCCAAATCTCTCCACGATCTCCGGGCGAATTACCAAAGATGTATTATTTTCCTTATTTGTTTCTCCGTCAACTTCTCCCGGAGCTCCGCCGCCGTCGTTAGCCGTTTCAGCACCACCCTCCTCCTTGTTTTTTGCCTCGCACTGCTCTGCTTGGTGACCATAGATGCCACAATGGAAACATATTTGGTACAAACCTTCATACTCAATGCGTTTAACCTTTCGGCCTGCTGTATACTTGGAGAGGAGAGGCTTCGCGATATCAACCTCGACACACATACGCGCAAACCTTCCTTTGGATACTATGCTCGTAGACTCGTCCACATATTTTGGCTCCCCAATCTTCCGCCCGAGTCTCATTATGGTCTGATAATCATAGAACTCTACTGACATGTCAGGAAACCGAACCCAAACCAAGACACGCTCAGTTTTATCCGCTTTTGGATCAAAGTATGGCTTCCAATCTTGCACAATCAGATAATGATCCATTACCGTCCATGGGCCACCATACTTAGCGAATTCATAGTCTTCAACACTCCAGAAGCGGACAACGTGGTAAAAGTCATCCAGAGAGATGATCTCCATTCTTGCTTTGGGACGCCATACCGCATGTAATCGCCTAGCCAGGGCTGTATAGCCAACTTTCCTGCCGAACACCTTCACTATCAAAGATTGCCTCCATGGTTTTCTCATACGGATTTTATCCGCTTTAGTTAACGTGATCTCTGGGCATTCGGGGTCCTCGTCCATGTCAACCTCGTCGTCATCAGAGTCAATATCATCCGCTTCGCTGCTTTCTTGCGTCACTCCTGTCACAGTTTCTTTGAAGGAAGGCTTCCTAGATTGACTCTCCGGTGGTGCTTTCGGTTGTTCAGCCGTAGTTTCGCAAGATGTGGTGGTTGTTTGCCCTTCTACACTCTGATGGATTTCCACCCCCTCCATCGCAGCGTTACCGGTGAAGGTCGTCAAAGATTCCCCGTTAATTTTCGTTTTTTTTGTACTTCTTTCCAGGAGATCCTGGTCTTCCGCTGTTCGCACCGCCGCCGTAGAGACTCTACGTTGGCCGTCCGCGGTTGGTATCGCTGAGAGCATTTTTGTTGTACAATTTTTTTTTTTTTGTAGACTCTTGGTTTTGAAATAGAATAAATGCACAGTTTAAAAAAAAAAAAAATAGTTGTCAAAATTAGCCTATAGGCCAATTTTTTACAAGACAGGGTATATTATATTATACAATTATGTACATTTTAGTATACAATTATGTACATTATTTTATATAATTATGTACATTCAAACATTGTAAATTTTTTTAATAGTTAAAAGTTTGTTGTATATTCTGTTATACAATTATGTACATTATTTTATACAATTATGTACATTCGAACATGTGATTTTTTTTTGTGTATTCTTATATACAACTATGTAAATTTCAGTATACAATTATTTACATTTTCAAAACACAATTTTTTTTTAACAAGTTAAAAGCAAACACAGAAAAACGAAATTTTCAAAAAAAAAAAAAAAAGTGCAAAACGACATCGTTTTGCACCAAGGCACACAATGCAATGTACGCGCCTTGGTGCACGATATAAATTGCCTATTGTAACCTAACCATTTTTTTTTTTTTTTGCTTCTCTTAATTTTTATTTTTTTTGTTATTTTGGATTGGCCCAACTCCATGATCTTTTTTTTATTGCTTTGAAAGAGCTGCCTCGATCCCTAAATCTAGAGAAGTCAGGGCTGCCTTCAAAACAATTTTTAAAGAAACATGGAGAAGTCTGCCTACAAAGAGAACAAAAGATCACAAAGGCAAATTCTATAGACTATAACTGTAAATTAATATGGGCAGCTTTATAATATTGCCAACCAATAAATACAAATTGAGAGACCAAATTGTTCAATACAAGATTATAAACATTTACTTTTTTATACAGGGCCACAGGGGTCCAACTTGGTTGATTAAGTATTTTACCAAACATTGATCAAATGTTAACATAATAATAATAATAATAATAATAATAACAATAATAATAATAATAATAATAATAATAAAAACTAGTCAAACAAGCATTTGTTAACCTTATATGGTGTTGTATCAGACATCAATGTAGCTAGCAACAGCTGCCCCTAATAATGTTAATGAACTTCATTCCTCAGAACAAACTCCTAAGCAACATGCAAAACAAAATTCCCTACTAAAGAAGCCTTCATTTCATCTTCCAAAGAAATTCATTTCATATCATGATGCCTTTGGAGCCCAACTAGTAAGAAGGCTACTACAAAGAACATACACTCAAATCTCCGTTCTTAAAGAAACAATCATCAGGCTTTCTAGAAATACAAGTGAAAATTAAAACGAATAATGTTGGGAACTATTACACGAGTATAAATTCAACTTTCGGGAAAAAGAGTCGAGAAATGGAACTCGATTGCACTTTGAGAGTTTGAGGAAAACAAGAAAGACATTGGAATAGTTAGTTAAGCTTTAGAAAGTGGCTGTTTAAAAAAAATAGATAAATAAACAAAGCTTTAGAAAGTGGCTTGTGAAATGTGTGCCTCAAGAGTAGGCACCAATTTGTGTATCCATGCTTTTGGGAATTCATGCAATTACAAATGCATCAAGAGAATTTCATATAGATATAGAATTCAAAAGAAAAATGAAAATAATTTTACCCAAAAAGATAATAGGCAATGACTAAAGAAAACACTTGTTCAAAAGCACAGTTTCATCAATGAATTTTTCATTTCTTTCAATGCAATATGTATCAATTCTGATTCTGAACTAAACAATGACAAAACAGCAATTAAACCATTACATCTATTAGATTTTGAAATAAAAGAAACTTCACAACACAGTAGAGAACAAATCAACAAAGCACATATTGCAACAAATAGTTTTGAGCATGCAAAAGTAAAGAAAAATGCAGTGCATCAGAGAGATTCCCATTGACAAATCATCATCCCATTAAACAGTGCTGATGTCCCTGTCTGTTTATCATCACTTGCACAAATCATTTCAAAAGCCAAATAAACATAAAATAACAATAATAGAAATATAAACCATTTAATCTATCAGATTAGAAACAAAAGAACTTCATGACACAATACAGAACCAATCAACAAAGCACATATTGCAACAAACAATTGTGAGAAAGCAAAAGTAAATAATATGAGTTAGTGTGCATCAGAGAGATTCCCATTGACAAATCATCATTCTTTTAAAGAGTGCTGATGTCCCTGTCTATTTATCATCACTTGCACAAATCATTTCAAAAGTCAAATAAGCATAAATAAAAAAAAATAAAAAATAAAAGGGGCTAATCTTTATAAGCATGAAGTTAATTAGAATAGCTACAGAGATCAGTAGCTCCAAGGCACAGAAAAGCAACTTGCACAGATGAACTCTAATAATTTGTGATTCGTGGGATGCAAACTAAGCAATCGAAACAAATTGCAATAATGCCTTGTAGCCTCAGATTTAGGTTGTTTTCAGAGTGCAATACTCAAAGTATATTTAATAACCATCATAGGCGAATGGCAGATTGAATGCTAGTTAAACCAAGAATAAAATCGAAACATAACGTAATTTGTCATTGTGGCAAAGAAGATACATTTATGATTAACCACAAGTACCACTGCAACAAAAATTACCGAAGAAAAGAAACCGATATACATAAATTGAAAATATCCCACACGATTTTATACCGGAATCGTCCATGCGGAGGCTCAAAAGCATTCATGGAGGCTTCCTGTAAGTGTTTAATAGATAAACTAGGGTTTTCAAATAACTGATGTTCTGTAATGGATCTGTCTTGTTAAATAGACAATATACCGATGGTTATGGTTCGGAGGGTTCGGGAACTAGGGTTTAAGTCGAGGGAGAAGATAATTTCGGGAGTTTACCACTTTACCCCTTAAAATCTTTTTTTTTTTTTTTTTGGAACACCAAGCCAAAACAGGCAATTTATATCGTGCACCAGGGTGCGCATTGCATTGTGCGCCCTGATGCAAAACGACGTCGTTTTACATTATTGTATAAATAAATACACATAATTGTATAAACAAACGCACATAACTGTATAAAAATACACATAATTATATAAATAAATACACATAATGATATAAACAAATACACATAATCACGTCAACTCCCTTTCGCGCCTCTCAAAACGACGTCGTTTTGGGAGGCGCGGGGCGCACAGTGCTGCGCACGCCGTGGTGCAAGGTATAACGACTGGCCAAAACATATCAGTGATTCAAATCCAATTATGTACTTTCAAAACGACATCGTTTTGTTAAGTTGTGTGGGGAGGCGACGCGATTGAGTGTATGTGTATTATGTTATATAAGTATGTACATTATGTTATACAATTATGTATATTCTGGTATACAATTATGTATATTATTTTATACAATTATGTACTTTTTTTTTATACAATTATGTATATTTGAACACGCAATTTTTTTTAACAGTTAAAAGTTTATGTGTATCCTGTTATACAATTATGTACATTCTCATATACAATTATATACATTTTCAAAACTTGAATTTTTTTTAACAAGTTAACAGCAAACACGAAAAAACGAAATTTTCAAAAAAAAAAATAAATAAAGTGCAAAACGACGTCGTTTTGTATCAGGGCGCACAATGCAATGTGCGCCCTGATGCACGATATAAATTGCCATATCACGCCACTCCATACAATTTGACAATGAAATAGACTCTTGGACTAAGTTATGGGTATTCGTAGATTGTCTAGTAAACTTAATGAAAATGTGATTAAAACTCGTCATTATTTCCTTAATATCATGTACAAGAAAATTAAGAGAGTCTCTTGAATTGTTGTATAGAGTTTGAACAATCTATAGGCAGGCGGTTTCCACTTGAATAAAGTAAGCATTTATTTCCTTAATCTAACTCCATGTTTCCCGAATAGCCATAGCTTCCGTTTCATTTGGGTCGAGAACTCCTCTCCATGACACACTCTTTGCTACAATGAACTCTCCATCTACATCTCTACAAACGAAACCAAAGCCAATTTTTCCTGCCTCCTTATTCATAGCCGCATCCACATTCAGTTTAATCCAGCCAGTTTTAGGTTTCTTCCATTTTTCACACTGGGTCTATAAGGTCTCTGAATCTGGTTTGACTCAATTGCATTCCTCCAATCATACAGATAAGCACTAGCATTTTCTATAATGATTGAAGGAAGAATCACAGGATTGTTCCACACTTTTTCATTTCTTGCATACTACAACTTCAATCAAATTACAATAAAGAGACACTGTTAATCCTTCTCCAAAGTAGCAAATGATCTCGTAACCCAATCTGTAAACAGTGTTACAATAGGCACTAGGCGCTAGTTTGGCGGAGCCTGAATGTTGCCTAGGGCACCTAGGAGGGCGAAGTTTAGCAACTTTCAACCAAATAATCATAGCATCATAGCAATATTAAAAATAAAAAATATACCGAGATCTTATGGTCTAATGGTACTTGGGTTGTACTCTCATATTGAAGGGAGTGGGTTTGAGTCTCAAATACTATACTATATTATAATAGAGTTAAAATTTTATTAATTATTGACATTATGAATATGATTATGTAACGGTCGGAGATTTATGATTACATTTAATGACTTCCGCTATAATTGTATCTTATATATATTGAATCTTTTTGTATTGAAATGTAGGTTGAAATAAGAATTTTTGCCATTACACTTTGTCTATTTATTTTACTGTTTTGCTCTTTACATTATACGTATTGTTCATCCAATCCGTTTCACCGAGAGCGCTACAACAGGCTAAAGAAATCAATCACAATACGTTATCAACATGATGATACATCTTTTGTGAACAATATACTTATTTTTTTTTATTAACATTCCTAATTGTTCAAATTGCCTATAATTGCATATTTGTATTTTGAGATTCTGTTGATATGGAATATGTTTTTATGCCATATGTTTTTATATGCGAATACATACGTGTGTTTCATGTGTGTGTGTGTGTAGGGATATATACACATTTTTGAGAAAAATAAAATAAAATATTTTGTATACATTTTCATTATGTATAAAAAAAATTCGAAAATTATTTCGAAATATACAAATGTTTTTCAAATTTTTTTTTTTTATTTTTTTTGTTGTTTGGCTGCCGTTTACAAATGTGGGTGGCGCCTTTATATGTTCATTGGCGTTTATGGCCGGAGCAGCATTGGGTGTTTCGTGGGCTTCGTTCTGGTAGAGGGATGCGTGGTGATGGCAACGACCGCTTCGCTTCACCGGTTGGGTGCAGCGCTGCGCTCTGTCAGTGCGGCTGTTTTGCTCTGGCAGAGGGAGGATCGACTCGCCATTGTTGTCGTCTGCTTCACAGTGTCTTTCGGTGCTCTCTTCGTAGCCGCACCGTAGAGATGGAATTGCCGGCAATATGGTTCGAGAGGAGGTTTTTACCTTTTGTCTTATGAGTGGGGCCCTTTTTGGCCCAGTCCGCTTAAAAATATATTTTTGGCCTGTGTTTCTTAAAATCTTTCCATGTTGGTCCCGAGAGGGTTTGAGAGTGAGTCTTGGAGGGGGGGGGGGGGTGAATAGACTCACTTAGGATTTTGAAAATTCTTCGCAAATAATTAAGTTTACTCAAGGGATGACCTTAACTCTAAGTTCAGAGTTTATGCACAGCGAAAAATTATTTTGAACCATTTTCAGTTCTTTTGTTAAGTTTGAGTTTGAAGATATGCAAAATAAAATGCAGTAGAGTAAAGAGAGAGAGAGAGTTTTTATAGTGATTTGGTTGTCAACTAAGCCTACTCCACTCTTTTTCACAACACGTGAAGGATTGCACTAAAACTCCTTAGTACAATACACCACCAAAGCTTGCTCCTTGAACACGAATCGGGACACAAACTTGAACCCAGGTTTTTCAACTCGTACAGAGTTTATCCCGTTTCTTTCTACTTATCCAAGTAGAGAAAACAAAGGTTGAAGAAATGAGTTTTCTTCTTCTCTAACTTGAAATCATGGCTTCTTGGATCTGGATTTACACATGTTGAAGCATCTCAAGACTTCTTGTAAATCTGGATTTAACTTTGAAGCCATGATTTCAAGTTGGAGTAGAAATTATCTTTAAAATTAGAACAAATTTTGCAAAAAAGATGAAAAAAAAAAAGAACCTTATATTGGATGATGTTAAAAATACTAACCTTTTGCTTCAATTGATTCAAAGATTGTCATTGCTCTTGGTTCCAATCAATGGTTGAAAGCTCCTAATGTAGCTAGAGGAAAGCATTGAACTCCATCAATTTTCGAAAGAAGAAAAACTATAGAGATTTTGCTAGATTTGCAATGGACTCCATTTTTGTAGAGCTGAGAAAGAAGAAGTGAAAGAAGAGAGAGAAAGATGATCTTGAAGTCTTATTTTCGTAGAGGTGAAAAATAACAAGTACAAATCGGTTGTTTTTTTTTTCTTCAAAAAAGTACAAGTGGGTTGAGTATAAAGAGATAGAGTGGTCAAATTATCACTGGTATTTTGGGGGAAAAATTGGAAAACTTTTATTCTTTTCATTGCTTCCTAAAAATCCGTGTAAACGCTAAGAGCATCACAATGTGGACTTTTTTTTTTTTTTTTTTTTTTTTAGAACAGTAAAAAATTTAGTAATTGATTTTTGTTTAATGGAAAACGTGATTTTTTTTTTTTGCAAGATTTTTCTCCATGTTTGTGCAGGAGAGAAGAAAAAAAAGGTGGAATTGCGCATTTGGAGCTCACCCGCTAGGCATCTGACTTCAATCGTTGCTCCCCCCCCCCCCCCCCTTTATTTTTTTAAATGTTAGAATTTTTTTTTCCTTTTCTTTTTCTCTTCCATTTTCTCTCTCCTACATGGACTCCTAAAATATTATGCAAAAACCCAACAGATGAAGATGCTCTAAGTAAGACACATAATTAAGGACTGAAAGAGTAATAATTAATAAATAAACTAAGGGAAAATCGCACTTTTGATCCCTCAATTGTTCCCAGATATGCAATGTAGTCCCTCATTTTCAATTTTTCCAAATTGGTCCCTCAATTGTTTCAACCGTAGCCAATTTAACCCTCTGGTAAGATTTCTCACTAACTTGTTAAAATCATAGACAAATTTGTAATTTCGCAACCCATTCAGATATACCCCCAGCCATCGCTGAAAGAGGGCAAGTCGCCGGCAGAGGAGCTATCGCCACCGTCATCTTCGATTGATTTTTGTCCGCCGGAGGCTGATTATCAAGCTGAAACGCAATGGGAAAAACGAGGTAGCGAACCCAGTCCATCTCGACCTTTTGAGCGATAATCAGACGGACCAAGTGGCGGAATTTGCCTCGACTGCGAAGAAATAGAAATAGGGTTAGAGACCATACATGTTCGATTGAGGTCGCGATTGGACTAGGTAGGTAGAAGTCGAATTGGATTGCCGCACCTTAGGGAGCGAAACGGCCATTGCTGACTGAGTGCCCACCGCCGTTGGCTCCAATTGCAACGAGGAAACCTGGGTTGAATTATTCTGTTCAAGATACTGCCGCATCTCAGGGAGACCATCGCCAATCCCCAATCGCGTAATCACCGGCGTTGGAGCTGTGAAACCAGCGCGACGCAAATCAGCAATGAATCTTTGCACAATCTGTTCAGCCGTTTCACGGGGTTCTGGAGGAGGATCGCCCACCTCCATGGTCGTCTCAACGGTGACGACACGGCGGCGTCTTCACCGAACAAGAAGACTGATGGCTACAACTGATTTTAATCCGTTCTCTGCTGATGTTTGCTCCGGCAGCCACCAAATCCGGCTCCGGCGGATGGAAGTTCTCACTTGTTTCATTATGTGGCTCACCATGCTTCACGGTGACACATGAGCTTTCCGGCTGGGAGACTGCCTTGAATATGTGCCGGAAGTATTGGTTCAGACTTCGCGTATGTCAATTCGGAGGGAGGAGGATGGGGGAGTTTGGGGGTAAATCTGAATGGGTTGTGAAATTACAAATTTGTCCATGATTTTAACACTAGTTAGTGAGAAATCTGACTGGAGGGTTATATTGACTACGGTTGAAACAATTGAGGGACCAATTTGGAAAAATTGACAATGAGGGACTACATTGCGTATTTGGAAACAATTGAAGGACCAAAAGTGCGATTTTCCCATAAACTAATAAAGTATTAAAGATTTGAAAATTTTATTTGAAAGTTGTCATCATTCACCTCATATCGTTTGATCTCTATATTTCTTCCAAACATTCCTTCCTTCCTCTTATATTTCGACAATTCTTCACTTAACATCTTATTTTGCATCTCACTGTCATTAAAGAATAGAGTGTCACCAAAATCAACAACATCACTTACAACTTTATCTAAATGAAGTTGTGGATCCTTGTAATGGTAATAAGGATTTAACAAATATCCATCACGAGGAGTGTGAATCCTATCTTTCATTTTTGCTTCAATAATTTCTATAATTGGTTTGTAGTTCCTTGAGACATCGGACAAAGCATGTTTGATTTCCTCTTTTGTTTTCATAATTTCACCATATACAAAACCCATTGATGGCTTCGTATCACAATCAACAAGCTGAAATACTCTCACCAACACCAACAGTGCAAACACCTTCAAACATTCCGTCACACCTTGCCAAAATCCCATACTCAATATGAATGAGTATGCTACCTTCCCTTTAGCTATCTTAGAAAATTTACATTCAACTCATTCAATGCTGGTAAACATGGCTTTTATTTCAACCTTCTTATGGGCTAAAATTTGTAAAGTAAGGAATGAAGAAGCAAATCTAGTCACACCGGGTCTCACTACCTCTCTCTTCTTTGTGAAAGTTCTCATCAATACCAAAGTCTTGCGATGAGCATAAATAAATATAGTTAAAGACTTTAAAACCTTTGCTTGATCAAGAACTTTCTTGTATGTTGGGGGACTTGCAATGCTTTGAAGCATTAAATTTATAGTGTGAGTGGCACAACAAGTCCAAAAGATTGTTGGTCTCTTCTCTTTCAACAACTTTGAAGCTCCCATGTTGTTTGAGGCATTATCCGTGACAACTTGAACAACATTTTTTACTCTAACTTGTTGAATGTCATGCTCAACAAACTCATAAGTATATTCACTTGTGTGTGAATCAAGTGAACATTCTTTAGAAGAAAGGAAAACGGTGCCTAAACTTGAATTCAGACACAAATTCATTACATTTCTTCTCTTTCTATCGGTCCAAGCATCCGTCATGATTGAGCACCCATTTAGCTTCTACTCATCTTTTTGTGTTTTCAAAGACTCATGAACTTTATCAACTTTCAAAAAGAAAAGATCTTCGTTGACGCGCAACTCGTGGCCCGTCAAGTTCAATATACAGAGCCGAATGATCAGAATTCATCACATCTTTATTATAGACCGTCACTTGAGGAAACATGCTGCACCAGTCTGCCCCGACAACAGCCCAATCCAAACGTTCTTCCTCCCAATGATCAGTACCTTTTCCACGCTCCCAAGTGAACATCCGGCCTCTCATCCCCAAATAAAAAAACTCGCAATAATCTAAAGCTTGATTGAATCCATTGATTAAAGCAGTGGGGTGAGGGTGATGTCCCCGTTTTTCCGTTGGGCTGGCAATGTCGTTAAAGTCACCAATAACTAACCACGGCAGCTGTGATTTCTGGTAAAGGGACCGCAGCAAATTCCACGACTGTTGGCGACACGACCTATCCGAAAAGCCATAAAAACACATTAATCTCCAAGGGTCGCTGCCAGGCAGCTGCACCTGAACATCAATGTGATTATTTGTAAAGCTGATCAGACTGGCTATCCCCCTATCACTCCAGAAAAGAGCCAAACCACCTCTAAGACCACCTCCATCTACATAAAAAAAGACCCTCATAGTTGAGCTTCATTCTCACGCTCCGCACGCTCACGACGCACCTTCGTTTCCATTAAGAAAATAAACATAGGCTTGACCTTAGCATCTAAGGCCAATAATTCCCGAACTGTGCGTGAGTTGTCTATCCCACGACGGTTCCAACTTATGGAGCTCATTGGGTCGGGCGGGACTGGGATGCACCAGTTCCCGCCTCCAACAAGTTTTTTGAACCACTTTTCTCTACGTCCATTGGTGCGATCAAAGCTGCGTCATTAATGTCCCTCCTACGTCGTTTTTGCTCAACAATTGTGACCCCATCATCAGCGCTATCCTCATCCACATTACCAATAATAGACTCATTAGTGAGTAAATTGGCATGAGTCCTATCATGCCGAATTTCCGTGATGGAACTAGGCACTCGCAAGGTAAGCGAATCAGTACTGGCGTTATTCTTGCCATGCATGATCTCCGGAGTAGACTTAGGCCCATGCATGGAAAGGGAATCAGCATTTAAACCTCCACGATACTTTCCTTTTCCAGTATTACCAGTACGTAACCCCGGCGAGGACCACTGGCTTCTATCCACCGAAGTTTCCGGCGCTATCCAATCATTACCCGCCGGCAGTGTATTGCGACGGCCACCAGCCCTCAACCCCGGACCATAGGGTTTTTTAGCGTTCTTATCCCAGTCTTGAGATACCTTGTGACAGTATTTGTCACCATGACCTATGATTCCGCATATGAAGCAAAAGGTTGGTAGGCGTTCGTAACGGAAGTCCACTCGGAACCATTCACCATTATCTTTTCGCATCTTCATCCCCTTCTTCAAAGGCTTGGCCACATCAATTTCCACACGTATACGAAAAAAGGTTCTGATTGACCCATCGAAGTTGTGTTCATCAGACTTTACCATCCGCCCGATATAACCACCTACAACGTTTAGAACTCCCTCAGATCGGAAACCTGGCTGAAGACCGTGAATTTGGATCCAAAACTCAACAGTGTCAAGCAAAACCGTTTCTGGATCAGCCCCCATCGGAACTTGTTTAAGGACTAATAGGCTCTGTTCATAGGCCCACGGACCATCTTCCAGGATCCTAGTCATAAATCTGTATCATGATAAAACCGAAAGAGATATCGTCTCGACTCAAGCTCTCTCACGTTCATACCATAAGTTGGACGCCATACGCCACCAAGCGTATCGTGGAGAAAAGTGAACTTGGTAGGCTTTTCTGTGACTAGCCTACCCACCGCAAAAAGCACCGGTTCATCTGCTGTCGACCCCAAAGAGACATTGCCGAACTATTGTACAATGCCATCATCATCCAGATCAGCGATAGCAAGGTTCAGCATCGAATGAGAAGAACTACCAGTATCCATGGGAGAAGAGATTCAAAAGAAGAAGGAGAAAACTCTCAGACTGAGAAGGAGAAAAAGCTCGCAAAGGATGGCGAGAGGAAATTGTTCAATTAAAATTAAATATTTTCAAAATATCTTTTGTTTAAATAAATATATGCTTTATCTTAAACTTGTTCTCTATGCAAACAAATATTCCTTTTGGTTAGCTTTCAAACACTCAATGATCTTGTGTTTAACCCCTCTCTACTCAATTCCCTTATAGTCGTTCCTAGAGGACGACACTCACTAAAACATCACCACTAAGATCCAACACTTTGAGTAACCAAAGCACTTGATGAAGCTATTATAAAATTTATATTTTTTTCAATTTCATACACCTAATCTGCCACAAATCCCATAATCAATAAAAAAACATACAGAATAAATGTATAATTCAATTCACATTTACAACTAACCAAAAAATTTATAATCTAAAATTCACCATGTCTAAAAAATCTTTAAAAGAAAAAATGACAATTTTTCAAATGGTATACACTGCCTAATACTGCCACACAATTCTCAAATCACACACAAAAAAAAATAATAATTTGATTTTATGATTTTAAGCATCCAACATCTATCACTAATCATCATTGAATCACAAATTACATTTGTTTAGGAAAGAAAAAATATATATAATGAGAATTAATGTAATTTATAATCTGCCAAACTGCCACTTATCTATAAATCTATAATAGTATAATCTATAAATGAAATTAAACATATAAGATATAGAATCAATGAATTATAGAATATACTAATAGTCTAATATAGAATGAATGGATGATTAGAATTTAGAATCAAAGAGCATATTACTTACCTATTGACGGATCAGATGCAAAAGATGGAGCAAATGAAGTACTAATGCAGCCGGTAGAGCAAACGTGACGCATACGATAGACGACGAGTAAACTCAGACAACAGAGCTTCGTGGCTAAGATGACGAGTAGACGACAGACATGCATAATAGATGAGAGCCTTTTTTTTTTTTTGCAAGAAAATTAGAAGAAGGGAGGCTAGGTTTTTTTAAATTTTTTTTTTTTTTTTTTGCTCAAAACGACATCATTTTGAGCAAAAAAATCTAATTAAAAAATAAAATTTACTCGGCCGATTTGCCTACAGCTGAAAACGGCACGGCCTAGGGGCGCCGCCTAGGCCGTCTTTTGCAACACTATCTGTAAAAGAATGATAACCCTCAAAATCCTCCCAAATACTCTGTCGGGCCGGGGTGTGGGGGGCCTTAGGGTTGGGGTTCAGCCTTTTGGAAGAATGATAACCCTCAAAATTAAAAGAACTCCTAGCTAAGTTCCAGCAAGTCCTAACAGTTTCACATTCAACAAGAATATGTAATATAGACTCATAAGTAATTAAACACAATGGTCAGGTTCTAAGGCTATTAACTCTCTTGGCAATAAGAAGGCCAGTAGTGAAAAGACACAATTGTTATGCCGTGCAACCGTGTGTACCATTCTTGGTACACACGGTCGAAAACGGCACCGTATAGTACTAAGGGAGTAACGGTGCCGTTAGTGGCACCGTTTCACTCCTCCGGTCGTTTAAAAAAAAATTATTATTATTACCATAAAACGCCACTAGGCACCTTTTTCCACCATTCCCAACGTTTCGTCTCCAACAAGATACAGAGCTCCTTCGCACTGTTGCAGTCTTCATCGCTCTCTCTGTCTGCTCGTAGTCGCGATTTTCACCGTCTTCATCTCATTGTCGCCGAAGCCGTGTTTTGATCACCGTTGTCGCTATTTTCGCCATTTTCATTCAAGCATTGTTGCTTTGTCGCCGTTTTCATCGCTTTCTTCCTCAGGTATAATGTATTTTTGACTGTTAATACTGTGATTTTTGACTATTAACGTTCATATTCGCTATAGATTCTTGTGATTTTTGACTAGGGTTTTGCAATGCGATTTTGGATTTTTCTCAAACAGAGCAACACTCTGTTTTTTTTTTTTGTTTGTTTTTTGGTGTTTTTTGAACTGTTTGTGGACATATAGTGATGATATTATGTACATATAGCTTTATAATTGTGGATGTCTAGTTTAATACTTATGCATGTATAAAAATATCATTCCTTTCTTCAATTAGAGTGTTTTTGAAATGTTTGTGGACAAATAGTTGTGATATTATGGATATATAGCTTTATAATTGTGGATTTATAGTTTAATACTTCTGCATGTATGAAAATATCATTCCTATCTTCAATTAGAGTGTTTTTGAAATGTTTGTGGACAAATAGTTGTGATATTATGGATATATAGCTTTATAATTGTGAATTTGTAGTTTAACACTTCTGCATGTATGAAAATATCATTCCTGTCTTCAATTAGGGTGTTTTTGAAATGTTTGTGGACAAATAGTTGTGATATTATGGATATATAGCTTTATAATTGTGGATTTATAGTTTAATACTTCTGCATGTATGAAAATATCATTCCTGTCTTCAATTAGGGTGTTTTTGAAATGTTTGTGGACAAATAGTTGTGGATGTATAGTTTAATAATTCTTATTTACAGAAATGGCGTGCGAACCTACATTGGGTGAGGCTTTTAGAGAAACAAAAAGAAGAAGAACAGGGTACCTGACATCAGCAGTTCTAAATTCACAAGCAGCTCAGAGCTCTAATCCAACTAATGAAGAACCAGCAGCAGTCCTAAATTCACAAGCAGCTCAGAGCTCTAATCCAACTAATGAAGAACACCCTGCTAGGCAAACAACCGTTGCAGAGACTTCAACGAGAGGGCACCAAACTTCGCGCAAAAGACGCCAAGCACCACGGACTAGAGAAAAAAGGGGAGATTACTTCAGTACGAGGATGAGGCCAAAGTTGATGTTTGATCTTGTCCAGAGACTCTCAACACAGCAGAAACAAGCTGTGGTTGATATGGGATTTGGTGGACTTCTACATCTCTAACTCTGCACCAATGAATCAAAGTTGGTGCAATACCTGCTGGACAAATTTAAT